ACCATGTTGCATAGAGTATAACATATTATTTTTGTTTAGGTACGTCATAATAGCTTTACTCACTACGTGTTCCATTACTCTACAGCAGCAACTTGTCAGTGATATCGGTCTATACGTTTACACGTGTAGCTTGGTGCCTTTTTTATGAATCGGTATTACTTAAGCGCACAGCCAATCCTTAGGAAGACAAGATGTACGCATCGATGTCGAAAATATAATCTGCAAAGGGGAAGAAAGTTGCTCAGCGTATCTTGTCAAAAACATATTTGATATATTATCTTGCCCGAACCATTTCTTGGTGTTTATTTGCAAAGGCAAGTTTTAAAATACCTCGCTCTGTTATCTCGAGGTCACCCTTCCCGCTGCCAGTTACTGGCATGTGCACCGGCGCAATTGCTGAGCGTGTGAAAATGGATTGAAAATAGTCGTTAAATGTATTATTCACAATGTGCATGTCTTCTATGACTGACCTGCTACTTCTATTTTACTGATTCCACCATCTGGCTTTGATAAATAGCGGCAAAACTTTTGCGGTTCGTTTTTAATGAAGCTTGATAAAGTGTTCGAAAAGAAGTCTTTTGCAGCTTTCATTTCGATTTTTAATTTGCAAGTGAGTTCTCTGGTTACTGCTGAATCTATTCTTTTCCTTCGTCGACGTATTAGTTTCTGTTTTAGATGAATAGTGTTCTGCGTTATCCATGGCGTTTTCTGCTTACGTCTTTTAGCTTTAGATGCTATGAAATTATTTTCACATTATCTTATAGCCTCTTTAAATTCTACCCATAGAACGTTGACATCTTCATCAGTCTCAGCTGAAAAACTGTCTAGTGTTTCTTCTAGATAGTCAATAATACTTTCATCATTAGCTCTTTCATTAGTCTTTCAAAGCAATGAAAGATGGCTTTGCCTTATGGCTAGCACTCCTACTTAGGGTAAAGAATGTTAGAAGGAGCATTTTATGATCTGATATATCTTCTGTAATTATACTTATGCGTATTGTTATGGACTGCAATACCAAAGCAAGATCGATGCAGTGTAATCGCAAGAAAGTGAGTAATAGCACAATAGTATGTAAGAGCTAGTTTTTTTTTTTTTTTTTAGGAATTGCAGTGCTTGCATTGTTGGTCGTAAGTGAAAAATCGGCATTGTTCGCGACCAAAAAATTTAAATAGATGCAAATAAATGAATAATAAAAAATTCCGTAGCGAGCAGAATCAAACCTATGCGTCCTGCGTGTCAAGCAGGCGTACTACTATCGGAGGCATGCCTGGACTTGAAGCTGTTTCGAAAAAAAAAAAAAAAGAAAAAAAATTGTTATGAATGTCCTCGTGCGTGAGTAGTCTCCTTAGCTCGTAATATTGCTTGCAAAAGCTTAGAACAGCGCCAGTCATCAAAGCGTGAATTGTGCGACGTGTGGGTAGTTTAAAGGCCCACCCATCAAATTGCACTTAGGCATACTTAATCGTCCTCATCAGCAAAAGCATCAACAAAGTGTGCAGTGGTGCAGCTGCTCCTGTTGCATACGAACACATAGTGGGTACTTCGTTAGTTTGCAACTGGAAGAACTATGACGCAGCCCACAACGCTATATTTTGCAAGTGTTTTGGATATTTCAAAATTGGCAATGTTTCAAGCGTTGATGTGCCTTCCTTTGTAGCACTTGCGGTCGAGGTGTCCAATGAGAAGCGAGGCTAGGTTGTGGGGTCTCGGCGAGGCGAACGAGCGCATCGCCACGCCACGCTCTTGGAGTGAACGGACACAGCAGACGCGGTCGGTACAAAGCTCACAACATACATATATTTATTAAGTAATTTAGACGACGATATCGTCCGCCGAATGTTACATCAATTTCTATTAACACGCTACCATTCAAACAACATAACGCAGTGACACACTAAACACACAATAACATGATAAACACACACTAACACACCCAACACGCTAACACATACCCAAGGCGGCGTCGCCAACGCCTGACTTTCCACGTGGGACCCCGGCGCGAAGCCCGCGGTGCCGAGCACCGGGGGCCCACGCTACAGACAACCGTTCGCGGCAGCCGCCACGCGCAGAAGAGCTCGCTCAACCCTCGCCCACCATCAAGGCCTGCCTTCCGCCAGGGGCCACTGCCGGCACTACCACTCTACCTACAGTGGTACTCAAAGCGAACACAACGCCATCTATCGCCCGGCGGTGGTCACCACCGAAATAAAGCCTTGGGGCGAGACACGTGCGCCACGCGGCGCAGACAACTTTACAGTCAGCACCCCCACATTCCCCCAACCTTAAATCAAACCATATCCCGAAATCGAAAATTAGCTACACAAGACTTAACCAAAAAAAAATGATATCGCACGACCATAATGTCCCTGCACCACGACACCGCCGCTGGTCGACACTGCTGCACTGTCCGGCTAGACTTCACCTCAGTACCGGCCCCGCAACAGCAACGTTGCCGTCGGCGCGACGCTCCGTCGCTAGCGCCGACACGTCTTCCAGTTGCGACCAGCACTTGCGAGGGCGCCGGACTGCAGGCAGTTACGCAGGTCCCAGGCATCTCCATCGCCCGACCTCACAACCGCATTCCTGGCCAGCGACGCTGACCATGTGCAGGACAGCCGGCCGTGGATGACATCTCTCCCGCCGAATACATCAATAACAACAACAAAAAAAACTTGAAAGAAAACAATCGAGCAGGTCCTTGGGAAGGGAGCTTTGAGCTTTTCGTCCACGGGGTACGTTGGTCAGTACTGCTAGCTAATACATCGGTGGCGGCCGAGACGCCCATCAAAATAAAACAAAAATCACTTTTCCTAACTCGTGCTCACAAGAAAAAAAAGTGAGGGAAGCAGAACGCAACACCTCAACGCCACGATCCACCTAGTTGTGCCACGTGCGACAGGCGGCTGCGCAGAGCCTTAGGCCTAATGGGTCGCTCGGCAACAACCGGCATCCACCCAGCACCCAGCCTAGGCGCAGAAGAGGCAGCCGCGAGGAGACGTCCGCTCTGTGAGGTGGCCCTATCGTTCGCCGCACACAGCAGCTTACCGAGCGATCGGCGTCCACCGCCCCGGGCGGTGTCACGATGCCCCGGCGCCGAGCCGCAATACAAGTTAGCAACGACGCCCGGCTCCCTGAGCCCAAAGAGATAGAAGCTATTTACAGAAAATCGGACCACCCACGAGGCTTCCGTACTCACTCGCTTCGGGCCTGGCCTACAAACCACGTGCTCTAGGCTTTGCTCACCTCAGGATGCAGACCGCATGGCTCGTCCTAATTCAACAACGTTTTTTGAAAACTAACAACAACAAAAAAATAACAACACTTGCGAGCAAAAAAAATAAATAGAAAGTCAACCTGCCGACAACTTCAAACACGTTACAAACCGATCTTCTCGCTCTCAACAAAGCGCACCGCCGACGCTAGCAATGAGAAGTCCCCCCTAGGCCTACTCCACTCCGGCTCTAACAAAGTTTGCACCGAACCGCAAAAACTGTCGTCCGATACTCCAAGAACCCCACGTTGGGCGCCAGTGTGGGGTCTCGGCGAGGCGAACGAGCGCATCGCCACGCCACGCTCTTGGAGTGAACGGACACAGCAGACGCGGTCGGTACAAAGCTCACAACATACATACATTTATTAACTAATTTAGACGATGATATCGTCCGCCGAATGTTACATCAATTTCAATTAACACGCTACCATTCAAACAACATAACGCAGTGACACACTAAACACACAATAACATGATAAACACACACTAACACACCCAACACACTAACACATAACCAAGGCGGCGTCGCCAGCGCCTTACTTTCCACGTGGGACCCCGGCGCGAAGCCCGCGGTGCCGAGCACCGGGGGCCCACGCTACAGACAACCGTTCGCGGCAGCCGCCACGCGCAGAAGAGCTCGCTCAACCCTCGCCCACCACCAAGGCCTGCCTTCCGCCAGGGGCCACCGCCGGCGCTACTACTCTAGCAACAGTGGTACTCAAAGCGAACACAACGCCATCTATCGCCCGGCGGTGGTCACCACCGAAATAAAGCCTTGGGGCGAGACACGTGCGCCACGCGGCGCAGACAACTTTACAGGGGGGGGGTGTCAGCACCCCCACAAGGTAAACGATTATGAAGGCATTGTGAACAGGTCCCGATTATGCTATCGCATTCTACTCTTGAAGGCAGAGCCCAAGCGTCCTCCCAGTTTTTGTGGCTTTCACATCATGACAAGCAATTTAACACGAGACATAATAGCTTCGAGGCTTAAGATTCAGATCAACTGCTTAAGATTCAGGTAATTTGCTGTTTGCAAGATATTCCTTTGAGAAGCCAAACTCGTGCAAGTGTCTTGCAGTTTCTACCGTTTCTGAAAGAGTCTCTGTGAGAGCGCTTTTTAAGATATCGTATTTCGCAGCAAGCGTTGTTTTGATGGTGCCACCTTCTTCAAATTAATTAACTTTCTCCTTCATTCCTTGCTTGAGCTTGCCGTGTGCCTAATGTAAAGCACTAAAAGAGCTAATTCACCTGGTAAGCTAGCCAAACACAAGCATGAATACAACACCAACAAGCTACAACCACAGCAAAGGGCAGACTTTCGGGGGGGGGGGGGGGGGGACACGTATTGGCTTGCATTATAAAAACAATATAACGAGAAACAGCTAGACATAAAGAGCTTTCTGTGCAGTGAATGCCATTAAATTAGAAAAGTTTTAGATCACTGCAACTGTACCGAAATGACGAAGGGAAACAGCCACACTGTATAGGCATGTTCAGAATGGGCGTAAAGGTGTTCAGCGCCCCCCTCTCCCCCCTATAAAGTGATACCAGTTTGTATGTATGTATTTACACATATATGTTGAGCATTACCAAACTAAAGTTTTCACTAATCCTCTTTCTGTTATGTGCTTTGGTTCAACACAATGCAATGTCTACTTTGTATCTGTGGTCGATATGAGAAGCAATGATGTTTCAATTCATCATTTTTCATTGTATCCATTTACAGATCCACCAAGCATTGTCATCTTTCCCCGGGACCAGACGGTGGTGACCGGTCGGGTGGCAGTGTTCGTATGCACAGCCGTTGGCAACCCACGACCACAGATCGAATGGCGCAAGAACGGCAAGCGCGTCTCCACCAACCGCTACACGGTGACAGAGATGACGGGGGGGTCGGTGCTTCGCATCGACCCCGTCCGCGCCGGCAAGGACAACGCCACCTACGAGTGCCTCGCTGAAAATGGTGTCGGTGAGCCCGTAAGGGCTCAGTTCACACTCACTGTACTTGAAGGTGAGGGCGAATCAAGTTATCATCATCATTTATTTATCCTTAAAGGTCCTTTTTAGGGTATTACATAAGAGGGGGAAACAAAAGTATCAATAATATCATGTCATTATGATACAGGGCATGATAATACAAAGATAAACAAGCTAGCAGACAAAAAAATAATAAAGGTTTGAAAATGCAGTAAGCTTGTCAGAATTTGAAAAGTGAAATATAACGACAGTGAAACGGGGAGGAAAAAACTCTACAAATGCTGTCACAAAAGTATACTAGATGAAATAACTGAGTACGGTAGCAGATTAACAGTTTAAAATACATGAAAGTAAGCGTCTAAATTTAATGGAGTTGGAGTCCTGTTCATTAACCATATCATCGAGTAGCGCATTCCATAGCTCAATAGCAATCGGTAGAAAGGATCTGTTGAATGCTCTGGTGGTGCTATGCGAGCGTCGCGCACTGAGACTATTCAGAACTTATACATCCCTTATCAGTGGCTTCAGCTTGTCTTTTTTTTTTTACCTTTGTGTTATGCCGAAATGGCAGCTGGAATGACCAACATAATTACTCGGGCATTGTTTTTAAAGAACGTTGCACATAGTGTTTTAAGAACTTATGAACAAAATTTTGACATATTTATTCCAAAAGAGCATAAAGGCACTTTAAAGTTATAAAGTTAAGTGAAAGAAACTTGATGAAACTGGCAAGATAAGATTTGTAGGAAGAATTGCAGTGTCTTTGCAGTTGCATGAAACCCTGGCTTGTTGTCATATGTTGCAAGTTAGGTCCCTGCCGGCAGCAGATGATCTTTTTTCTCTGCTTTACTTTCTTCACAATTTTGTATATATCATAATTACTAATTGAAAGAATCCCCTATGCTTTTCTTGGCATTATTGTCTGTTAGCTCTCATTAACACAGCTGTCCTAGTGAAGCACGCACTACGAACCAAAGGCTGGTGCTAGACATTATTCTGTCTCCTGTGCGGGTGTCCTATTTCAGTCGTTTTATGTTCTTTGTGTTATATGTTCTGTGTTCACTGGCATTGTGGATTTATCAAATTGGTGCTAAACAGCCCAGCTAAATACATTTACATACTAAAACTGCCTTGCCGAATGAAGTTCTGTGACTTATCTCTTGAAGATCTTGCAGGACTTTTGACCTCCAAGGGAGTTCTAGATGCTTTATAGAGAAAGCATGCTATCTAGGGTGTAATTTTTTAGGGATGAATTTTATGGTTATATGATAACGTAATGTCATGATGCACTGATTGTAGCACTTGTGGGCTTATGGTGGCACATTCAAGTACCTGTCCATAGAGGGTTCAGGCCAGTGGAATCATAATTTGAGAATGCTAGTCCATAGAGGGTTCAGTCCAGTGGAATCATAGTTTAAGAATGCTAGTGCATTCTACATGAGCTATTACCCCGAAAATTGTCATATTAGAAAATATCTTGATGCCCGTTGCATCTATTGTAACATTTTTGTAGCTGTTGGTCACTAATTCTTTTAAATGAATGAACGAGTTAACCAGCAAACCAATCAATCAACCAAAGCATCTGCGATGAAGCTGCGGGCCCTGAACCTTTCATTGAAATACACAAGAGACAGTGAATCTTCACATCTTCTGTACCTAATAAATATGGTGTGAAATTCCACTTGTAATTTAACTTATTGTTGTAAGACCAAATTAGTCTTACAGTTTATAATATCGTTGACTACCTCTTTATATTTAAATCCGAAAATTGTACAAGTTCGGTGATGATCGAATCTTGCAGAGATGAAGTATTCTTGAAAACTTAATATTGCAGCCTAGCAGAAGAAAATCGCGCTTGTTAAAACATTGGCTCCAGTGACTCCCCGTGCTCAAGAAATTTTTTCTCCAACTTTTCTTTTTTTTTTAGAAATGTATGCTTAGCCTTGTACGTTCGAAAACTTGGTGGTGTTCGGGCACAACATAGGCGGGCTTTTTGTTGTTCATGGTCGCATAATTGTCTTGTGCATTCTGGTCTTCACTCCATGCTTGGTTTTTATAGCAGTTAACTTCAATCTTGTTTTATGTATCTCCTTTTTCTTCGTGCCGTCAGAGAACCAGATTCCACCGGGCTTCCCGCACTTCAAGCTACTGCCCAACCTTCAAGGTGTGGAGCGCAACCGCAGTGCACTGCTTCCCTGCAAAGCGGAAGGAGACCCTGAACCCAGGCTCTCCTGGCTCCGGAATGACATCCCCGTCGACATGTCCAATCCGCGATACTCCCTCGCGGCTGCTGGCAAGTACACGCTGTTTCGTGAAAAGTCTAAAAAAAAAAAAATCAACAGGTCACACCGTTGACCTCCTAATCAGCAACCTTGGATTCCAGCTCCAACAAATCTTTAGAATTCAGTAAGTTTCCTTGTAGTGCTCGTAAAAAAAACTAGAAGAAATGAAGGCACATATAGACATACAGCACATATATCTCTCTGTCTACATGTGCCTTCATTTCTTCCTGTTTTTTACATGCACAACAAGAAAACTTACTGAAGATGAGCTACCAACAAGCCCGCATCGCATCTCTCGTGAAATCTTTAGACACCATAATGACTAGACTTGTACAAATAGAAAGTTCTAGATTAGGAGTGAATACATTTATTTGGTTGAGTAATAATTACAAGTCGAATTCGAATATGGTACATATCAGGTAATAGAAAGAAAAATGAGCATATGTGTCATTACCCAGCTAACGTGCAGAATATTTTTTTAACTTGAAACAAGGCATGGGCAAATGTCATTCTGTTTGGTTGAAGAAAAAAAAAAACGAAAGGAACTTGGATTAGTAGCAGGATTTGAGTTTCTGTAAAATGTAAGTGATAACCAGCAAAATATGTTACATTTAAAAATTTAGTATACTTAGAGCATATTATAATAAGGTTTGACTTTAATATCAATAATAATTAATATGTAATGTCCAAAAATCACATTATGATTATGAGAGACACTGTAGTGGTGGGCTTTGCCTATTTCATCTGCCTGGGATTCTTTAACATGCAGCTAAATCTAAGTACACGAGCCTCTAGCATTATTCTTCCTTATAAGAATGCGGCAACTGCTGCTGAGACACAATCTCGCGACCTTCAGATGAGCAGTTGAGACCACCATGATAGTTTAAGTAGAAGGAAATCTTTGTGCAAAATGTTGAGCTTTTGAAGTATGGGCTGAAGCATCGCTAAAAACTCACAAGAACAATGGATTTTTCTAGTAAAATCAACCACAAGAGTTGCTGTTTACTTTGAAGTGCTCACCGAACTGGCATTACCATTCACTGGTGTTCTAGATCATAATGATGGCATAACCTAGAATGCCCACGTGCATGGGTAGACTTCGGAGATCACTCGACGCTAAAACATCCCACAGTATAGCCTCTCTTTTTATTCTCTCTCTCCTTTTATTTTATGATCACTGTTGAATCAACACACTCCTTGTCTCTTTCTTTTTGTCGTGACCGAGACGGATAGTGCAAAAGCGAATAGCCAGATCGCTAAAAGACAGGAAGGGAGGGATGCCTTGTATTGGCCTGGTGTAATTGCATAGGGTAAATGTCTGCAGTGTCGTTAAAAAAAAACTTTTAAAAAGTTAGGAAACTCTTGATTTGCCTTTAAGGGTTCAGTGCGACCCCATAGAGTTTTGAACAATCATGATAGCACTGTAACCTAAATAATATTCTCAAATTGCACTCGAAAGCAGTGTTTGGTGTTAAATTGTGTTTACATTGGTGATTATCTTAAAGATATTCATTTATAGGCACTTATGGGCATGTAACACGTAGGCAGGAGAAGCACGTAGGCTGGGGATTAAGGGTAACAGACTGGATTCCAACAGAAGGCAGATGTGTAAGGGAAGATGGAAAGCTAGGTGGGCCGATGAGATTAAGAAGTTTGCAGGTACAACTTGGCAGCAGAAAGCACTGGACTGCATTGATTACTAGCGAAACATGGTATAGGCTTTGCCCTTCACTCGGCGTATCATGATGATAATGATAAATTGCATTTAAGCACACACGCCAAAATAGGCATATGTAGTGTGGGGTTTTCAAATGGCGAGCAGCATGTTCTTTGAGTGAACGGACACAGTATACACGGTCGGAACGAACCCAAACAACAAACATACGTTTATTTAACTAATTTTAAAGGACGATATCGTCCGCCGAATTATTATAACATCAATCGTGATCTACACGCTAAACAACCTTACATAAAATTACCGTACGCTCAAACAACATAACACAAGAGCACACAAAAGGCGGCAACGCCAACGCTTCACTCACCACGTGGACCTACCGCAGGCGGCCCGCAGTGCCGTCCACGGCATACCCACACCTACCGCGAGAGACAACCGTCGGCGCCAAACGCCACCAGTTGAAGAGACTAGCTCAACTCTCTCGCCCGTCACCTAGCACCAAGGCTTGCCTTCTGCCAGGGGTCACCGCCGGCGCTATCACTCTACCAACTATGATGATGATAGTGGTGATCGCCGCTCGCGAACACAACGCCACCTATCACTCGATAGTTGTCACCCCCAAAATACGGCTTTTGTGCGAGACATGTGCGCCGCACGGTGCAAACAACGTTACAGGGGATGTCAGCACCCTCACAATAGTCACTGTGAAAACACTATAAAAGCTTTTCTTAACCTCTAATTCATGCTCATATATAAATGGTGCGATAGATAACGTGCGGAACAAAATAGGCATTTACCTAGTCATCAGCCACCGCATCAATAAAATGCACAAATAATGCTTTACATATGTGTAGTTGGTTCCTCGCTTCTCCACAGAATATTGAATAATGGCATTGTGATTGCTTTCCTACTTCACATAAATTGTGATTATTTATAGTTTAGTGGGTGTCATGCACGTATACTTGTAGTGTAGTTGTCCCGGGAGTGTTTAATAAAGGCTCTAGAAATACCGATGTTCCAGCTTTCGCTGCAACTGGGCAATGCGTTTTACCAAAGGTCGCGGGACCGAATCCCAGCTGCGCCGACTGCATTTTTGATGGAAGCGAAAATGTTAGAAGCCCATGTGCTTAGATTTAGGTGCGCGTTAAAACAACCCCAGGTGGTCAAAACTTAAGGAGCCCCTCTGGTATAACGTCTCTCATAATCACATTGTGGTTTTGGGGCATTAAACCCCAGATAATGTTGTTGTTGTTATTATTATTATTATTATTATTGTTATTATTATTACTATTACTATTATTATTACTACTACAACTACTACTACTAGTGCTTCGCTTTTTACTCTTGCCTGGCTTTTTTTTTTTTTCACTATCTTTTCTTTGGTTGCGTAGAAAGTGGCATTCATGTTTCATACTTTTTTCAGTTTAAGGGAGAGGAAATGTAGTCTGTAGTCTCCAAAGATGGTTATCCTATTCTCATATACTCATTTACAATAACCCCCCATTCAGGTTCACTACAGATTTTCGATGCCCAGGAGGAAGATCAGGGCAACTACGAATGCATTGCAGAGAACAGCGTGGGCACTGCCATCTCGCCCATGGCAACCCTCTTCGTGCGTGGTAAGTAGTTTCTTGTTTCCAACAATAAAATGAAAACAATTCCTCAATATCGCTTTTATAGAGCTAATCCGTTTCTTTGTGACAGTATAGTGGCGCAATAACACGCATGTTAGTTAGTGCTGCATAAATCTTCCCCATCGCATTTTATTTTGCAAGATGAATGTATCAATGTTTTATGAAATCTTACAAAAAGTTCACGCTGGCTGTGTCCTTGCTTCACCGCAGTGCGGCGGGTGCCTCCGTACTTCTCGATTCCGCCGGAGTCAACTTACGAAGTATCTCCAGGGGCCACACTTAACCTAACGTGTGTGGCCGTGGGATCACCCATGCCATTTGTGCGTTGGCGCAAAGGTCACATGGACCTGACTGCCGACAGTGAAGTGCCCGTGGGCCGCAACGTTTTGGTGCTGGAAAATGTTCGCGAGTCGGCCAATTACACCTGCGTGGCTGGCTCCACGCTCGGCAGCATTGAACACGTCTCGCAAGTGCTCGTCCAAGGTGAGAGCCAAACCGCCAAATTCGTAAACGTAACTTGAAGCTCAGACCTGACTTGAGCAATTGTGACTCGAGAATGTGCATCAAGTGCCCTTGTGGACTTTATAAACCCTCATCTGGCTTTGCTTTGTGTACTCGTGACCCAATGGTAGCACGGCACACCTGGGCATGAGAACGTTGAAATAATTCACTTCTTATACGAGTTAAAGAGCTTAAGGCCCGTATTCACAAACCAACCTCAACCTTACCTCGAGTTTTCCTCATTGGTTTTAAGTCGTTATTGCGCTTGCTGAACAAAGTAGGCTAGTGTACATGAACCAATCTCATTGTTATATTTTACCCTGTTACCATTTCTGTGCTCTTATAACGCATGTAGAGAGTACAGAAACTTGAAGAAAACGTGAGGAAAGACCAAGGTTGGTTTGTGAATACGGGACTAAGCATACCCAGAAGATGAAAAATCCTTGAACAGGAGGTGCCGATAGAGCCAACATTTGAAAAAGTGGTCTTATCAGCTTCAAGCTCTTCGAAAAGGTGTCATGTATGTGTTTGCAGTCGTGCATGAGCGTAACAGCAAAGTGTTGATTTCGGTTCAGTTAACTTCAGGTTTGTTTTAGTTAGTTTAGCCAATCATCTTTATAAGCATATGTTGGGACATGCTGGTACCAACTAGAAGTGTTACAGAGTTGCTTTGCCCTATTCGCATTACCATTATTGAACTGAAATTTGAAGGGCTCCGAATCGCCCAGAGGTCAAAATTTAGTTGTGGTGGTGAAGTTGTGCAGGAGTCTATGATGAACGCGTACTAATTGTGCAAGTTTTTAGAAACGGTGCTGTAATATAGTGGAGTTACGCGCGTCTTTGATGATTCAAAGGCCGTCTCTTCTCACCTTGCTCTTTCCTTTGCTGTGCTCCATTAGTCTTGTTCTTCCTCCTGGCTGAGTACTCCTAGTCACCACGCGAGGAGGAAAAGCGGCGAGCGTGCCATCATGAACAATGATAAGGGCACGCAGTGGTGCCACATTTTGGCTTTGTTGATCGTGGCAGCTTTCTGAGCTCAATGCGCATGTTTACTCGAAATGTTTAAAAAATTACCAAAGGTTGTTTAGGAGTGACGGACATCATCTCCCATCCTACTTTTCAATGCCTGGTACTGTCCCGGTTTGTGATGTCTCCTTTCTTCCTTCCTTTCTCACGCATCAGCCCTACCTCGGTCGCCCACCAACCTGGCAGTGTCGGACGTGACGGCCACTTCGGTTCGACTGTCATGGTCATACGAGGGCAGCGGCTCGGACAACATTCGCTATTACGTGGTGCAGTACAAACCCCGCCAGGCCAACCGCGAGTACAGCGAGACGAGCGGCATCACGATGCCTTACCACCATGTCCGGGACCTGAGCCCATACACGGAGTACGAGTTTTACGTCATCGCCGTCAATGATCTCGGCCGAGGCTCTCCAAGCGTGCCAGTCACCGTGACAACAGGGGAAACAGGTTGGCTTTTGACAGCTTCCAGTTGGCATTATTTCTTAAGGATGGCTTATCAAACACAGTAATTGACTGTCTGTGCCGGTGTCCCACGGCAGCTGCCAATACAGTAAAAGATCGCTAATTGGCATTTCACAGGACAGAAAAAACTGTAGCGATCAATAGAATGCCAAAATATCAAAACTATTAAGGAAATAGTAAATACGTACATGCCTATTAGATCCATGCACACTCATTTTCTTGAGAAATATGCAAATACAGTAAAACCTTGTTAATTCGAACTCGGTTATTTCGAAATCCTGTTTAATTCGAAGGATTTCTGCAGTCCCGTGTTTTGCAATGTAAGTTTGAGTGGACAATTTAAAGCGGTGGCCGGCACCATTCCGGTTAACTTGAAAACATTGGGTGCCATGTGCCAGTTCCTGATTTTGCCGCGAATCCGCGGAATGACGGCTATTAATAGCCACAAGGTAATGCAGTGTATTGATGCTAACAAGTGGCAGCTGAAGCACCCCAGCCTCTCTACTTTCAGTGCAAAAAAAAAACAGAAAAAAACGGTCTCGTGGTCAACCGAAACGTGCGCCTGTGGAAAACGAGTCGTGCTTTACTGCCACGCACCGATGACATGCGGGCAGCATATTGCATGTTTCTCGCGACGTCATCAGGTCATAGTTTACCCATTCTGACTGGGATTGTAAAGAAATCAATAAAGGACAGTATAGCGGAAATCGCAATGTATGCGAACTTCCGATTGCTCCAGCAATTTGCGTCTTTGCACTGCTGACGGAGTTCTTGCCAGCAACACCTATTTCGAAAACTAAGTTCTAAAGTTTCAAAGTTTCAAACTAAGTTCGAAATTTCGCGCGAAAAATTGCGGGGGGGGGGGGGGTGAACCCCCCAACTTGCCCCCCTTGGCTACGCCACTGATGCGGGCTGCCCTCAGTCTAGCTTGTTAGGGAAGTCTCCTTTACATCCGGTCTGCGGGCTGTATTGGGCAAGCTTCCCACAACGACATACCAAGTTGCACACTAAGCCTAAGGAGCGTAACTGCTTAGTCTGTAGTGGCCACGGGCTATCAACATTGCGGTTTGGTTCCCAGTCAACAAAACGTTTTACAGTGTTTACATTTGGATGGGGTGACACACATATTCAGCAAGAGTAAGCTCGTGTGTGTGCAACTTTTGAGTGGTGGTTCATGATCGCCACTGTTTTCAACATCGCGCACACACCCCGAAAACTGAAAACATGAGGAATTGCAGTTGCCGTTCGCTTTATAGCATCTGCCCAGTGTGGTACCGCATCAAAGTCCACGTGAATGAGGTGGTCTAAAAAGTTATTATTTTGGCACTGCAGGCTCGTAGGCATTATCTGTTCAACATTTGTAAATTTGTACCCCTGTCACATGCCTTGATTGTTAGTATCACATGGCTGCCTGTTTGTCATGTTTGCATACATACAGCCTTTCAAGAGTTTTGTTTCAGTTACATTGCAGTATTGCCCATAGTGGGTATATTTGTGACTCCAGCGACTTACATTATAAGCAATCTATGCTGTACTACAAAAGTTCACATTTTGTGCTGTGTCCTTTACACAGTGCCTCTAATGAAGCATGCAAGGTATTTAAATAAATACATAAACAAACAAATTTCAGGTTTGTTTGGTTTTTGAAATAAGTGACAATGAAATACCACATGCACTAACAAATACAATCAAGTTAACTATTAAAAATGTTAGCAGTCACAAATAGCATTTAACTTGTGATTGGGGAGGTATAATGATCGATAGATCCAAATTGTCATTTTTTGCAGATGTGTGTTTGTGAATGTAGTTGGTGCAAATTTTGGTGTATAGTTTCTAACACAAGGAGACAAGTCTGCCATAAACAAAGAATACCTACATTTGTAGATGGGAATAGCCAATTCAGTTGAAAGACAGCACACAGCGTTTTTGCTTTCTTCATTGGTGCCGCTTATCTGGATCTAGGTGTTACTTGAACAGTCATAAAAACAGTGTTTTGCAGAGAAATGAGAGAATCGATCAACAGTGGCCATGCAAGGCAAGCTTCTGCCTGGGCTTGCAGTCTTGTTGGCTCAAGTTTGCAAGCAGAGTTACGCTTAAAGCTTGCATCTCCTTGGGAAATGCAGAGGCCCTGCAAAGGTCAAAACCTATAGTGGGCTTTGCTGGCGAAGGATCCTGGAATTCTATTATGCACTGTTCCGTAGCTTCATAATCACTCTGGCAGGCATGTACTTGCTCAACTCGACACAAAACACTTTGGTGTACCTGCTGATGGCATGCCTGGCACCATGACAAGTTACTGCCTTTAACACAATGCCAGAGATGTGGTTGGTCGCATGCTACATCTGTTGTGCAGGCATGTGAAGTCTCACAAGAGGGATAGCTTTTTCTGAAGCTATCGCTCAAGAGCACCGCCCATCCGAAAAAGTCAGTGTTCAAACAGAATGTCAGGGTACACCGCTGTCAAAGGCAAGTTCTCCTCTTGGAAAATTGGCCTTCGGCTGAAGTTCCATTGCTTTGCCAGTGTTGATCCTCTGCAAGCAGCGCCTTATTTTATTGCCACCACCGCACTGCTTTTTGGTTTTGCCATTTTTGGGTGTGGCGAGTGACCAGTGCGCGGAGCTACTGCTGCTACTGCCGACGCCCCTGTGCGCTTTTGCTTGTGCGTGTGTGTTTGCTGCTGTAAATGACTGCTCCTTCTTTCTGTTCTCTCTTTCTCGCTTTTTCCCTCTCACTGTGTCCTCATCCCCTCTCTCGTCTCGTTGGCCGCCTTGTCGTTCTCCCCTCGCCTCCCGTAAACATCAGCGGATCTGGCTGGAGGGAGCAGTAAGTGCTAGCACTGCTTAGGCCAGATGCTTTCTCTCGCATTTTCTCACAAGTCCACCCTCTACTTCTTTCCTCATTCTCCCAATATCGCCCTTTTTTTCTATTTTCTTTGCTAATTTCTTTTAACCGATTGTGCTACAGACAAGAGTAGGGCTGGCTAGCTTGTGGCCGGGAGTGCAAAGAAGCCTGCAAATTCATGTCTCATTTCATTATTGATTTGCTCATCGCAGTACTAGTGTTTTGCTAAGCTTATGCAAGTAATTGAATGGCTTTCTTTGCCCTTGATACTGATTAGCATTGGGACATGCCGGCCCGATTGTGCGGTGCTGTCGATTTATTAATTCCAAAATTTCACGATGCAAATTAAAAAATAAGTACACTCAAACCTCGATATTGTCAAACCCGTATTATAAAAGACACTGATGGTTGTGTGGGTCACCAGTGTGCCTACAGTAAAATGCGGCTTGATAAAAAAACGCATAGTACATGGTACCCTGCTTATAAGAGGCACCTCATATGAAAGACAGGAAAGGGAAACGAGTGAAGGTGTTCAACTGTATAACGAACTTGGATATAGCGAAATAATGGTTGTAACAAACTAAATAAAGAATGGCCTTGCAATGAATATAGTGTTATAAACATACCTTTATAATGAATTTTCAGATATAACAAACTTGTTTTCATGTAAAATGCAACTTCGTTTTGATGAGGTATTAGTGTATACGTGTAGATGGGACTGGCTATTCAACAAGGAATGGAAGTTGGCAAGCCACTTTTTTCGCAGCTGGCTTTTGGCCTAGTGTAGCAATGAAGGTACACTTGGGAACATTTTCAAAAAAAGCTGGTGGCATAAATTTTATTCGTCTTAGGAGGAAATCATCGATGAGAGAAACAAGGCGAAATGACAGATGTACAGCGTATATTGTGGGGTTTTCAAAGTAGCAGAAATATACCGCGGAGGGCGTGTACGTAGTACCAGATGGTGTGGCACAGTCGCAGTACTTGCTCAGGTGACTGCTTATTTTAATACGGTGCATAACCGAGGTACTTGAATATGTCACCATCAACCATCTGTGTTCTCTTTATCTGCTATCATGACTCAATCAATGGCACTGCAGTTCTCTCAAATAACTTCTTTTTTTAGAAAGAGATGATAATGCAACACAGGAACACATTATGTAGTAGTGTTTTGTCCAGCACTGCTTGTTACTCTATTACGTTGACACGTACGAAACTCTGCTTTTGCTGGGTTCGGTCTTTTGGTGTTTCAGTGTTAACCTTGGTTTGTTATTGCTGTGCTGGAATACATTATTAACAAGCGCTTGGGAAAGCCTCAGTTTCAGCACTAGCTTTATGTAACTTTTTGCCTGACCCTGTTTCTTTTTTGTTCCCACTTCCTTCTTATTCCTGTTCATTTATGCCCCTAACTCGGATATTCTGAGCAAGAGAAAGCCAATGTGGCTCATTCTTCCTATCTATAACCTTTTGGACACAGAAATCTGTGGACTATTGCAATCTTCCGACTTCCTTGTGTGAGGATGACTTGAAAGTTAAAAGCTAAACTGAGTTGTCTTTTAATTATATTTTTTCAGGTGATGATCGATGTTCAGTGAATAGAGTTGAGGGCCAAGTTGATTTTCCCTCTAAACGTAAAGTTCAGGCAGAACTAACGTATTTACTGGCATAATCCTTGCACTTTTTTTTGCCAGAAAATCGATGCAAAGTTGGGGGGTGCGAGAATTACGCGGGGAAAACTTTCCACGAAAACGCAGAGAGTGAAAAAGAAAACGAAGTGGCCGCAAATCGGGATTCTCACACCAGCAACTCACAGCAAGCTTTAAGAAGTACTAATTAGAATTTACCTCAACAATAAAAGTTAAATATCTGGCTATGCAGATGTAACTGTACAAAAATTTTTGCATACTATTCTAATGCCATGTGTATCTTGAAGGAACCTCAGGTCATGAAAACCACTTGTAGTTCTTCATTACAATTTTTATTTTAAGGGAATTGTTGCTTCTTGAAAGTAAGTTCCTTGAATCGAGCCACAAATGGTTGTTTATATGCATTCAACATCTAAGTTTACACATCTGAAGAAAAAGTGCTGGTGATTCCAGAGCCTGGCATAGGTATTTCCAACTATCGTTGAACCCCACTACAACGAACGCCGCTTCAACGAAACTTTGGCTACAACGAAAAATTCACGATTCCCCGTCAGCAGTCCATAGGAGTCGATGCATAAATATTGTCGCCACAACACTTTTTCTTCTGCCGTCCCTCCTCAACGAAATTTCGGGATGCTATTCCAGGCTCAGATATTTGTTGCTATCAGTAAACCCAATCTTTAACATTTTGATGCATTTTCAGAACCTGAAAATATGTCGACGAAGTCTAAAACACGTGTTGGCACCACCAGAAACCGCCGCTGTTCAGCAAGCATGGCCGCCGCCATTGCTCGATAGCGATAGCAATGATACTGCCCTGCTTTTGCCATTGGCTTGCTCTTGAGCCGCAGATGATTTGAAGCTGAAGCTCAGTCGCTCAGTTCGTGGTTTCCTTCACGCAGCTGCTGGGTGCGACCGCGGAACAGTGCCTTTTCTGATTCCAATGCTTGCTTATCATTTTATTCGCGCTTGGCCAGCGTGGTGCCCAATCAGAGCGGCTGTTCGTCTGCATTTTCAACAAAATCAGCCAGCCGCGAGTGATGGATGATAAGAGTGGCATAGAATAAGGCAAAAGTCACCGCTCCACTATACCCTGCCTCCATCTCGGCGTTGTCGGATACAATTTGACGGCAGACAGCTGCTGGTGTTAACGTGTCAATGGAACTGTTTGGTACGTACACAAAAGCGGTGGTAGGCGTTGTTTCAGCATGCTTTGCACCATGGCCTCACTATGTATGACTGAGAATCGCGTTGTGATGCCGCTGGGGAAGAATAGGAAGCAGCGGACATTTTTTTCAATTTTGAGAATAAATGTTCCTTTGTTTTGCTAGCTCAGATCAGCTACACTTCAACGAAATATTTTCCACGCCTCGCAAGTTACGTTGTAGCGGGGTTCATCTGTGTGCATTATCTTTAATGCTTTCACTGACTTCATGGTTTCACTGGCTCTTGCCTGAAGATGTTTTAATTTCAATGTTTTCTCTTAGGTCCTATGGTATGTTAAATTTAGGTGCCAAGTGCACACAGGTAGAGTTTGCTTTTTCTTAAAAATGTAAATTCGGCTCTTGTGATAAAAACCACACCCAAAGGCCAAGCGATAGCATGCGCAGCTTTTTCGTTGTTACTCTTTAGAAAGTGACCCATAGTTACAATTATATAGTTGAAATCGCAATTGCACGCACAAAGCATTCACAAATGTGAGGATAAAAGGGGATACCACTTCTCGGTTTTGAGTTATGCTGTTGAACCTTATCATACCGAAATTTTTTCACGACTTGTATTTGTCAAGCCGACCACTGCCACTTTGACTTTCAGAGCCCGGCAGTGCGCCTCGAAACTTGCAAGCACGAACTTTGAGCTCAAGCACCGTGGTTGTGCAGTGGGACCCTCCAAAGGAACCGAATGGCCAGGTCATGGTAAGCATTCACTGCAGAGCTTCATAAGATACTGGGAGTTGTACTCTCTGTAAGTCACTTCCGGTAGTACGTTCACTTTCACTTATTAACCAGCGGCTTTCAGACTTTCAACTCTCTCACACCTTTTCCTGTTTCAGAGGTCATTCACTAATAACACCCACGACAGCATAACCTAATAAACCATAAAGGTAATTTGTCACTGACAAGCCCGGTTAGTTTCCTTGTGCAGATTTTGTGGCAAGATATAAAACACAACCAAGTATAAATACAGTTGTCCTGCATTAGAAATAAATAGCTGTGGTGTACCAACAATCAACCGCTTTAAACGGCATTACGCTGCACCTTCATTCTTGAGGATATGCCATGCATCAGTAGCATAGCCAAAAATTTTTTCAGGAGGGGGGTTCAACCATACTTCATGTATGTTTGTGCATGCATTTGTATGTGTGTGGGTGTGCGTATGCAAGCAAAGTTAGAAAATTTAGGTGAAAGCGCGAACCCCTCAACCTCCCCCCCCCCCCCCACCTGGCTACACTCCTGCCCCACATCCATAGGAAACATGTCCTTAGACATGCTCTTCTTCTTATACAATAAAGGTTTAATCCTTAATATTAAAAAAATGCATTTGGTTTGTTGCAATAGGCAGGTTTAGCTTTTACTGGGGTTAATCTAGAGATGCAGTCAGGTGCATGACAACTTTGTTTTTTAAAGCAAAGGTTTTATTACACACATTTCGGTGCCGTTCACGAAAAACTTGTCGCCCGAGAGTGCAAAGAAATTTGATCCTTGAAAATGTGCCGGCCACATGCATATTTGTATCCGCTGTATTCCAATAAATGGAGCCCTCTCGATCGTGGACTTGTCAGCTATCAGGCATTTCTGATACAACAATTCGATCTTTTATGGAGGTGACCTGTCATTTCATGTCACCACATTTCATTGTTGCCTTCGTACGAGCATATGCCCTGCCGCGGTGGTCTTGTGGCTAAGGTACTCGGCTGCTAACCCGCAGGTCACGGGTTTGAATCCCGGCTGCGGCGGCTGCATTTCCGGTGGAGACGGAAATGTTGTAGGCCCTTGTGCTCAGATTTGGGCGCACGTTAAAGAACCCCAGGTGGTCGAAATTTCCGGAGCCCTCCACTACGGCGCCTCTCATAATCATGTGGTTTTGGGGCGTTCAACCCCACATATCAATCAAATCAATCATATGAACGCATGGTCGTCGTTGTAGCAAGTAGAAAATGAAGTGTTGTGCTGCTAAGCACATGGACGAAGGTCCAGTCCCCTTCATGGAGGAAGGAAAATGTTATAAAAGACACAGCGGAATAGAAATAAAGAAAGAAAAGTTATTTGTCTGGCAAGCACACACCAAGCTTTGCGCTTTTTTGTTCATAGGACTCCTGAACATTTTTTTTCTCTCATTCCTTTGACCCTCAGATACCGAGCTTTTCCCCCACCTCACCCCAAGCTAAACAGGGCACAGACCACCGCTTTGCGTCTACTTCAAACAAACACGTATCCTTCACCTGCCCGCTTTCACTTCATATTCCCGGACATGTACACCATCTCCCACTGCCGGTGCTGCGGCACTCACCCGGCTACGCTTCCGCACATGCTGTGGGAGTGCCCTGCACAGTACAGACACACTAATGCCACGACTCTTTCGTTGAAGCTCCATAAGGCTTTGCGGAGCCCCGCTCTTTGCGACCAAACCTGGGCGACCCAGCACGCCCGTGAGGTGACGTCGAGGCAAGCCCTTGACGTCCCCTCGTGTGAGACCAAGCCCCGGGCACCTAAACCTGCTGGTTTCTTATAAAGTTTATTTCTCCTCCTCATTCCTTCGACAGTTCAACAGTGGCAAAAAATTGCCAGGCTGAGATTGCGCAAGCGTCTTTCTTTTCTAATGTTCACTCGGGCTCCAATGTCACTGGATAGGTAAAGGTCGGCTTTCCTGCGCTGCCATGCTGATGGAAGTGCGGTGCTGGCCAGTCACGAGAGCGCGAGCGAACTTTCACAAAGCGAGATGCTTGTGCGGTCTCCTGTGTATTCCCCGCTAAACCTGTAATGAGGCGTTGTGGCCCTTGCCGTCTCTTTCAGGGCTACAACGTGTACTACACGACACAGCCCAGTATCCCCACCCAGTCGTGGAGTGCGCAAACGGTCGACAATAACCAGCTGACGACCATCAGCAATCTGACGCCGCAGACCATCTACACCATACGGGTGCAGGCATTCACAAGCCGTGGCCCGGGTCCATTCTCATCGCCCGTGCAAGTCAAGACCCAGCAGGGCGGTGAGCCTTTTCATCCAAACATTTAACGGTGATGCTGTTGTTGGTTGAGCCTCTGATGTCCGGGATGCACGGTAACGCTTGTGGGCATCATAAACGGGTATGTGCCGTAGACATGGGTAAATCTCACCACACACCACTGTTCCACTCTAAATGAAGGCAAGAGTTATGGTATCTTCGGCTGGTGGCACCGGTGGCATTTTTTGTGCACTTGTGCCGTGCCATACAGCCGCATGTTCGGCTGGGCCAGCAAGGACATGAGTGCACGCCACGGCGGCACCGCGGAGGTCAGACAGTGGAGCGTGGTGCAATCCCATCAGCCCGCACGCATTGGCAGACGGCGCGATGACGTTCCATCATTGCAGGCGTAATTTACAGCTGGCACTGCCGCAGAACACGGCTGGACGGCACGGGAAACGTGCGTGAGCTTACATCGTCCGATCGTACTCGCACGAGGCTGCTTTTGCTGCCAGGATTCCACTGGACACTGAAGGCGATGCGAAAATTACCGTAACCCTCGTCGAGTTTGTAGGGAATCGATGCTGCACAACCACCTGGTGAACAGATGTGCACCCACTGGACACGTAGCAAGTCTCGCAAGTGTCTCTCATTGTTAGATTTTTTGTTGTTTGCTCTCTTCTTACCAGTACAAACAGAACGTTGGAAATAGTCGTCTGCTAAATGACGTCTCTCGCATACAGCGCTGCTGTAGCGGATTTGAGTTTTGTGGTTCACACGTTCGGTTGACCCGTAGCGAGGCGTGAAGCTCAGGCGGTGTTTAACGTAACTTCCTTTCTACTGTCACGGTGCCAGCGCACCTCAGCCGAAGACGTCATTAGTAAATGGGTATGTGCCACGGCAATCTGTCTGGCCTATCAGAAAACTATCATCATCATAAACGCGCATGATCATCATCATAAACACGCTGTCTTTTCTCATAAATTGCTTATTCTTCTTAATAAATCTTATAATTGAAAGTCGGCGCTCGTTTTCCTTGGTCTCTTTGTCTCATGTCTTTCCTTGTGCTGTAATCACTTTTAAAATGGAATACCAACTTGGTGGAATACCAACTCAGACAATGCCTCCAGCCCAGTCCACTGTCTGAAACTGTAACTCCAGTTGAAAATTGTGCGGAGCAGCCTCCCATCACTCCTGGTTTTCTGACCCTTGCCCGGGGGGTTTGGGCTTGTTTAAAAACATGATTAAAGTCTGCTCTTGTGATAAGACACAAGTTGCAGTGAGCAGAGGTTTTGCCATGCGTTATGAGGAAGAGAAGGAAACGGGTCACAGCCGTAGCCATTTGCAATCTGCGCCACATAACCTGGTCGCTTCTGGAAAGGCAAACTGTCCTATTTCTCTTGGTGCCAGTGCCGAGCCAGCCGCGCAACTTGAAGGCGGGGGCAGTGTCACCGACGGCCATCCAGCTGAACTGGACGCGTCCCCTGGACCCGGCCGAGACGGTGGTGGGCTACGAGCTCTACTGGAACGACACGTTCACTCAGCAGCAGGAACAGCGCTCCCTGCCGGACAGTCAGAGCTTCCTCCTCGAGGGGCTCTACCCGGACACAGTGTACTACATCTGGCTGGCGGCCCGCTCGCGTGCGGGTGAGGGTGCCGCCACGCCACCCCTGCCTGTGCGGACGGACCAGTACGGTGAGTAGCACTGTCCCCCTCCGGGCTTTCTCTCGCTCTCTGCCTGTCTTTCCTTTCCTTTTTTCTGGGCCATGAGAAAGAGTGCTGTATCGTGGCTTCCTTGAGACCGCTAAGGATCAAATCATTGGTCCATTCAGTTGACCTGCACTTTTTGAACTAGCTTGAGAGAGTGCCCACTGAAATAGCTTGATGCTTTCAGTGTCACGCTACTAATCTTGAGGATTCAAGTTCTATTACTGGACACAGCAGCCATATTTTGATCTGGTCTTCACCCCCGTCCCTCTTTTACGATGTGCCTCCTTGTCATTTGGCACAGAACACCCCAGAATAAATCTAACTTTCAACTGGTGAAAGGGCTGCAGCTAAAGCTCCTTTAAATAAATTCAAACCCAGCACAAAATTTTTTTTTGTTACTTGAAGAATTGTGCTCTGGTAAATACAAAAGAAACAAGGTCATAGTGCCACAAATGTGGCAACGAAAATTGTGCTTCAACACCTGCCATAGATTTCTAAAAATCAGCTGAGCGAGCAGCGGCCATCTTGAGCCTCATTTCAATTTCCACAAAGCCAGCAAGGAAAAAAGCAGCTCTGTGGAAACTGTGCAAAAGCAGTGCAGACTACTTCGCACCGAACCGTATCCGAATAGTGTGGTAGCTGAACAGACTGCTTGTCAACTCAACGGCACAAATTGGCACGCGATAAATGAGTTTCACCGCTTGGGGCTTGAAGCTGTTTAAGCTGTCGATACGGACGGTGTTCAGTGCTGGTCAGAGTTAAAAGACACCTCCAGGTCTCCTCTTGGCTTTGACCACCAATTGTGGCACATGTTGCTAAACTCTGAAGTCGAACCAATTAGCAACCTTGTTAAATACAAATGTGTATAAAGCATTTAGCAAAGATGCTAAATTACAAAGGCATACAAAGAATTCAGCAATGATGCCAAATTACAGAGGTGCAGAAAGCATTCAGCAAGAACACCAAATTACTAAGATGTACAAATAATTATGCAAAAACATAAAGTTACAAGCTTATACAAAGCATATTATGTTAAATTTCACAGACAAAGGCAAAATTTATCAGAAATATTTAATTACACAGACCTCAAAACATTTAGCGATAATTCTAAAGTGCAAAGAGGTACGGAGAATTCGGAAAACATGCTATATTACTAGTGCATAAAAAGCATTCAAGCATCAAAAAGCATAAAAAGCAGATAAATTGCAAAGACGAAGAAAGCATCTAGCAATGACTGCAAATTACACTGACCTAACAAGCATTTAGCAAAAATGCTAAATCACAAAGACCGTGTTACAATATGTAGAATGTATTTTACATAGTTTCTCTCACAGATTGACATTTTTACTACAATTATAGATAATTTGCATGTTTGAGTGAACAAAATGTATACTTTGTAGGAGCCAAACAACAAAATGTATACTTTGTAGGAGTCTTGGTGCTTTCATTCTCACTTTAATTTCAGTGGTAGAGTTCTGATTGAAGCAGAGCTTATTAACTTCAAGTTTTGTTCTTGTATGTGACCATTCGTCACCACAAGGGGGAGTTGTTTCGTTTTACACAGAAGGAGTTGACTAGACTTGTTCACTATATGCATGCTTTCATCATAGCGGCTGTGAGAGTTTGTGCTAGTAGTGCTGGCTGTATTGTTACGTGTAATAGCCTCGTTAGGTTTGCAAAACAAGGGTTATCAGGCAGCACTTGCCAGAGCCAGGATTAAACTCGTATGAAGCAGTTCATGAAGTGCAGAGTGACTGAACAGGCCCTGCTCCTTTTCTTTGAGAGACAGGTTAATTTTTTTTAGTGCTGTTCGACGAATGACTAGAGTATGGGATGACCAAACGGGCTCAACTTTTTCTGCCCTTTCTTTTTGGTCACATTTTTTCGCTCGAACTCATTATGTATGTTTGACCTACCTGTGTAGCAGTTATCAGTGGGCAGCAAACTCTTCAGTATCCTACCCATTCCCGAGAACCAAAGGTTTTTGAAACACCACCACCACACTCTCTTTTTTCTTGTTTTTCGAAGAACAGTGTGAAGAATACCAGTTATAGACTTCACTGTTTTTTGTGCGTAGTCTCATCTATCTTTCCCAGATCGTTTGTTTTTTCTCGCTGAGCTCTTCAAAGTGCAACATGCAACTGGCCCACTCTGTCGCGTTAATGTTGATGGGCATGCAACTGTTCAGAAGTTATCAACACGAGCCCTGGTCGCAAAATGTGAGAATCGGTAACCTCGTTCCATTCTTGTAACACTCAGAATGCCGATCGAGTGCTGAGCTTCTGCTCTTGCTTTATGATGTTTTGATTCGGCACCTTGTTTAAATTTTATAATGTCTGAGTTAAGCTTAGATTTATAAATGTAGCTAATACTATTGCTACAGCTCAGTTCACTGTGAAACTGTCTTGTGTCTTTATTGAGGAGATGGGCTGTAACACGTGTTAGTTTTATTTTTGGCTGTAGGCTAAAGTGAGACAGAGCCAAGTATAAAAAAAAATGGTGAGGTGGTTTTATACGCAACCTATTGAGGGTAGGGCATATTTTGTACGTGGCCCCATCCCACCATGTCATCTGCGTCTTCCTTCCTTGGCTCGCCGCACAGCGCACTCTCTCGACCTCCCGTTCTTCCTCCGCACTTCCTTCTTCTCTGCCCATTGCATCACGTGACCTCCCTTTTCCTCCTCGACGCGCCACGCATACGGCACCTCGCAGTTCCGGGTGCACCGCCGCAGCAGGTACGCGGCGTCGCTCTCGACTCGCGCTCGCTGCGCATCAGCTGGGAGCCACCACCACGTGAACTGCACAATGGCGCCATCACATACTACAAGGTGAAGTACATCCGTGCCGATGCGGCCCCGGGAGCGGCGCCCTACGAGGCGCTGAAGGGCCCCGCCGAGCTGTCGCACACCGTCACGGGATTGGACAAGTGGACCCCCTACCGCATCTGGGTGCTCGCCGGCACGTCCGTCGGAGACGGCCCCGGCTCTTCACCAGTTCTCGTGCGCACCGACGAGGACGGTACGTCGTCTGGCGGGGACGCCCCTTTCCCTTCCTTCCTCCTTGCCTCACACCTTCCTCCTCCTTCTTCAGTGTCCTTTTGCACCGTTCTCTTCTTCTTTTCTAACTATAACTAATATTTTTGTGTTCTATCTTTTTATGTATGTTCTGTTCATCCTTGTCCTGATGGCTTCTCTCTGCCACTGCTCGTAAAGTTTCTCTAAAGATAGTTTCTCGAGGTACAATTTGGATTCACTCATTTTATGGTGGTTTATTGGTTATGATGCTCAGCTGCTGACCCAAAGGTCGTGGAATCTAATCCTGGCTGTGGTAGCTGCATTTCTATGTGAGTGAAACGTTAGAGGCCCTTGTGCTTAGACTTAGGTGTACGTTAAATAACCTCGTGTGGTCGAAATTACCATAGCTATTCACTGTAGCATCTCCTATGATTATATTGCGGTTTTAAAATGGAAACGCCGACAGTTATCGTTGTCAATAAGTCTTATTACTGTCATCAATACGGGCATCAGCAGTTTCTTTAACTGTGCAGTTAGTGCTCCATGTGAAGTAGATGAATCGATTGAGTGCTCAGCTGGCTCATTTTACACTGGTAAATTGGTGTAGCTAGAGCGATACATACGAGTGCAATGATAGGGCATCTGCTTACTTGGGGCTCGCCAGAGTGAGCAACTATGGATATAATCCACACGTTTCACTAGTTGAGAAAAAACGATGGTGGCCTGCTTAGTCACTTGTGAGCACCTGATAGCTCATCTGACTTCTTATGTGTAATTCTTATTTTAGTGTAGGCACGAGTCTATTTCTTCTGTCATGGAGGACTGAAAGTTGTGAGAGACACTCTAGAATCGTGGCAGTGACCTTCGTTCAATCTTCAATCGAGGTATTGCCACTTGAATACAAGAGAAGGCTAAAATCTGTGAAGGGGCTTTGTGACTGGTTTGTGAAGAAAGCTTACCCTGACGAGCCATTTGCATTCCTAGCTGCTGTCATGACTCTTTTGCAGATAGCAAGTTAGCTGACTGTTAATGCTACGTGAGTTGAACTGTAGCTTGTTTGGTAAGCGTAGATTAAGTTTGAGCTCGGTTGGTTCAGTGAAGCACAGTTTATTATATGGTTCGCAACGGTGTATACTATCTTAACATTGTTAGTGAGAACTTTCATTATTGTTCATCCTGAATTCGCTGTTTGATTTTTTTCTAGTGCTGGGCTACTTTGTCGCAGCTAGCCCTAGCTCTGGAACTCCTCTATTCATAACGACTTGCACGAGAAACTAGGAATCACTATTGTTGATTGAGCGTATATGGGCAGCAAGTCTCAATTTCAGTATATGATTCCAGTACAGGGAGATAATATCCAAGTTTTCCAGAATTCGGCCATCTTATGTACTGGACTTGCCCAGTTTAAAGCTGTAAAAATATTGCGAAAATATTGTGCAATGTTACAGAGCTATGTAGATATCAAGCTGTGGGACAGAACTGAAAGCTCGTTCTCTTTAATCTGTTGCCCTCGCCCTCTTTTCTTCTCGACCTAAACTTGGAATTTTCTTTGAGGACAAATCTGGGCTTCTCTGCATTAGTAACCGTTCTCACCTTCAATTAGCCAAGCCATTTCTTTTTTGTTCTTACTATTGGTTGCTTAATTTCCTTTTTTTTTTTTTTTTCTCCTCATTTAGCACCTTTGACGCTCCTTCGTTATTTCTCTTCAACCCCAACTCTTTACCCGATTCCTTCTGACCTCTTTGTCACAGTTTATCCACAATGCCCTATCTGACCCCAGTGCACCTCCACGCTGCCTTTTTCGCATTGATACAGCCTCTGTCAGACTTCACGTGGATGCACTATAGCCTTGTATTCTTACAAGCTTCTCTGCTCTCGAGCCACTTCTGCGAAATTGGCTGTAGGCAGTGCCACCTCTGTGCAGGAGTAGCTACTGTTGTCCAGCATCACTTTTCTGAATTAATTTCAAGCTGTCATTGTTGCGTTAAACAGAGTTGAGTGTAAAGAGTTTTTGAGGAAGGCTAGGTTCTGATTTTGGGGTGTATGAATCAGCTTTTTGGGTTTTTCGACCAACTGTTCTAAGTTCCTCAATTAGCTGTTTGTCACAATTGCTAAAGGTAATTACAATTACACAGTGGGACCATTTTTGGCATTAACAGCGGCCCTTGTGGTCTAAAAAAAATATTGAATATCAATAGGTAATCTACAAACCCTTTAGAGCTTATTAATTTTGGAGAGCGCTTTTAAGAGGTCCCGAGATTTCATCTTCGGATAAGCATTGGTCAGTTGTATTTCAGACATCCGGCTACGATGTTATTGAGAGCCATAAACAAAGCCTATCTGTCCAACTTAACAGCTTAATGGTGGCCTATCGTAAATTTTGCTTGAGAAAGGTCATTTATTGATTGATTTATTGATTGATGAAGGCATCTCTAATAATCATATGGTGGTTTTGGGATGTTAGACCCCACATATCAATCAATTATTGATTAAAATGGCATTTCAGGTACAAGTTTTTTTGTTTTTTTTTTCCTGGATGATCCAATCGTGCGCTCCTCGTAAAGTCTGAGAGTGGCTGCACTTCCATTCCCTATCAGCTCGCCTTCTCTGCCTCATTTAGTCCCTATCCTCTGCATTTCCTCTCGTGAAGTCATTTCACTCATGTTTTTACGCGAAAGCCCATTAATTTTCTACCCTCTTTATTTTACTCATCTCTTCGTTTTACCTTTAGTGACAGTTTTCTCTCTTTCCACGGTCCTTTCTTTGCACCTTTTCGTGTCTATTACAGAACTTAAATTTCTCTTTGTTCTTTCCCACGTCTCTCCTATGTTATCTACTTTGCTTTTTCTTCACGAAATGCCTGTCTTTCTCTTTGAGATTGTTGTGGGTTCTTCGTTTTCCTTTTGCATTCATTAATTCACCTTTTTATCCACTTTTCCTTCTAACTGAAAATATTTCAATCGTCATTCTTCTTTTTTTTTTAACGAATTGAAACAGCCTTTTTTTCTGGCCATGTTTTTCTCAAGCTCATTCTGCTGTCCTTTAGTTTTTACTTTCCTTGTTCGGTATATGCAGTGGTGAGCTTTGTGTGAAATCGGAGACCCTCGCCTCTCAAATCACCTTGAACCTGTGTGCCGCAGGTGGGAACGGGAGCTGACTTGGCAGAAGCGATTCTTGCCCTGGAGAGTTATCAAAAGTTATCAAGTGACCCCAACTGCAATTCTGTAGAGCTTAACCTTGCTGAGACTTTTTTTTTCTTCTTCTTCACTTTTGAAATCTTCAACTGAGCCTTGAAGTAACAATTCAGGGCCTTAGTTGTTAAATGTTAATGTTTTTTTTTTTTTGAACGCTTGTATTTGTATGGGCATTTCTTATTGGGTCTTTGTTTATAGGCTATTATGCTTATGTGTCTATTGATAATAGACCACCAAGCCAAAGCTAGCATCTGTGATCACTTGAAATTCCTTAAGACGTCGATGACGCTGTATAGATATCATAGGAATGTAACTCACTTTTAGTCTTATTGTCTGGTGTAAATGAATGCCAGTGATCGACGTCAAGTCATTTGGTTGCCAAACCTACAATTATTGATTTTCAAAGGTAACCTTAATTGCCTTGATCAGTACAAATGACTTAGCATTATGACACTATGTGGGTCAAATATCAATCGTTCTCATGAACAGCCTGATTTGTAGCAAGGAAAGCATGTTGCAGGTACTGTCGCAGCAGAACTTTGCTTTTTCAACAGATCTTCTGTTACAATGTATTATTTGTAGTATTGGTTCAGCATAAAGAAAGGGTGTTTGAGCAGCCCCTTTCAAAATGTGTCAGTTGTAAGTAAGCAGACTGTATAAACATAGGAATCAAATCCCAATGACCCAGAAGGCTAGAAATTTATTTCATATACGTTTGAGGCTGTGCTCCACCGATTTCGCACGGGGTTGCGCCACTATGCATTCGATGATCTTTCCTTCCTTCCTTTCTTGCACCTGTCTTTGGCTAAATCTTGTCTTGTCTCTTGCAACGATATACCTTGGTCAAAGCGTATCGCGCAGGTGCAGAACAAATGTAATTGTCGACTTGACTGCATATGGCATGAGAGTATGATGCAGTAGACTTATAACTCGTGACATATTCTGCCAGGAGAGATTGTCTAATAAGTATATACAGTTTTGGGAACCACGATACTTGAGCTTGTCACTAGCTGTCTGTGGCATGTCTAAATGTGCCCAATGCCTAGTGAGACAAGGGAATCTTCTTGCATTGCTCGTGCTCCATTTGCTGCAGTGGTGATACTCAGTCGTATCTCCATTTCGGCAAGTAAAAGAGAGTTTGCTCTTTAAGTTCTACTCTGAGCGAGTTCTACACCATGCGCGAAACCCTTTGGCTCGCTTGCTAGCTGTGTTCCCCTCCTTCCTTTGCATCGCTGCACGCCTTTGTCGTCTGCACCGCAGTCGCACGTCAACGTTGACTGTCCTCCTTCTCTCGAAGCATGCCCACAATCTTCCGGTAGCCGTAGTGCCGGTGGTCACCGCCCTCTCACACCACTCACGCCATGCACAGCTAGCAAAACACACCAGAAACCACCCATCCTTTTTTCTTTTTCCTCCTTTTTCACCAACCCACTCCTTCCCCCAAAGAAGGGGCTCACGGCGACGACACGGCCACATTTTTTTGGCCAAGCCATCATCCTCTTCTTCTTCCTCACCGACAGCTTCTCTTCTTCTTCAACTACAGCGATTCTTCAACTGACACGCTTCTTTTGTCAGAAACTTTTCTTTTTTTCCTACGATCTCTTGAAGCCTGTCTCACGTGTGCCACGGGTCTTGGGCATAGCGGGTGTTTTGAAGCAGACGCACCACAGACATTACTGCCACATCACTTGCAAGCCTTTTTTTTCCTTTTTGTCTTTGACTTCTACTTCTTGGCTCTGTCTGTGGCTTTGTGTACTGTGCCTAACTCTCTTGCCATTTTCTTTTCATTTTCGAGCAGCCTGTTCTTGCT